AAAGTAAGGTCAGTACTTCCACGCTTTAAACGCTGCACGCTCATACTCGCTCCCGCACTGATATATTATCCACTGTTGATCTGCACACAGCTGTTGTCACGAACGTCGCACTTGCTTACACTTAAATCACAGTTTTAGTAACGCAGTAACGCAGCTTTCCTACGTTTTTGCAATAGTAATCCCTTACTTTACTCGTTACTTGAAAAAAGTAATCGGATTACAGTAACGCGTTACTGCCCATCTCTGGTTACACCATAGTCTGAGATGTACTGTTGCGTACAGTATTGACAAAACACTTCTGTGGATGGCTTTTGTTCAGATGTCATATGAACAGATGCCTCAGTTCATATTTAGTTTGCAGTTTAAGGTTCATTCTAAAAACGTTTACAAAGAAATGCCAACTTCAACTTCAAATTGTGGGTCAGAGTTAATAATAAATAAATACTATAATGTCTGACTTCATTATGTCAAGTGATTACAACAATTTTCATTAGTTTAATAAACACATGAATAAATAAATCTTTGTGTAAGAATGTAACAAACCTAAACTATGAGTCGTATTCTGTGAATATTTTGATTTGAGTTGACTGTTGGTCCTTTCTAGTCCCTGAGCCTCACCTGCACCGTGTGGGGCGAGCCTACTCCTGAGGTCACCTGGTTCAAGAACGAGCAGGAAGTCGCTTCCACTGAGCACACCAGGGTCACGTTTGACGGTGGCAAGTTTGCCAGCCTCGTCATTAACAAAGTCACCCCCGAAGACTCCGGAAAGTACAGCATCAACGTACGGAACAAGTACGGTGGTGAGTTCGTGGAAATCACTGTCAGCGTCTACAGGCACGGAGAGAAGATCCCCGAGCCCAAACTGGGGCAGCCCAAAGCAGCCGCCACCACGCCTGCGCAGCCAAAGTCCCCAGCTCCCCCTTCCAAGACCCCAACCCCCACCCCTTCTAAAACCCAGACCCCAGCGCCATCCATGAAGAGCCCAACTCCAGCCTCCACCCCAATCCCCAAGTCTCCAACCCCTACCCCGAAGTCTCCTACTCCACCACGGAGCGTTAAGTCTCCAACCCCACCCAGATTCATGAAGTCTCCAACTCCACCCAGGAAGTAGAATGCGGTGGTGACGCCTGAGGGGGTTAATGTTCGCTGTTAGCAACACTGATTTATAAGCATGAGTGTGAAACAATGAGCTCTTACTTTAAAGTTTATTTAGATTTAGATAACGTCAAAGTCCCACTTGGAAAACTGCTGCTTACTCTGGACTACACCTCACAGTCATGTTGGGCCATCATATGTCTTTAAAGTGGTTCATTTTAACACAAGAAAAACACCGAGAAACATAAAATGTCCGTGTATATTCATTACAACGTTTTAAAAGCTGCACCTTCCACTATGCAATGTCAGTGAAATGCCTGCAACAAATTGTGGATGTCAAAGGATATTTATGCTCTATTACAACTTGGGTATCAGTGACACAAAAAAGCAAGTCAGTGAGCCTTCTTACAAAGAGATGAGCAGAGTTTTAGAGGACAAAATTAAAGAAAATAGTAAATATTTTAGGTTTAAGCTCCAGTTTCAGTGCTTTAATCTTAATCTTCTCTGTTACTGAGTTTCCCTACATTTAGCACTTATGTCAAAGAGTGTGATATTACACAAAACAACGCAAATAACATCAAAAACTACAAAAATAAGATCCAAGTTGTAATACACCAGTATCAAAGTGGATGAGCTGGGAGTCAGCAGGTACAGACGTGGGTGAAAATGTGCAAATACCAGGTTACTGTGTTTGTGCTCCAGCCATTCTTCTCCCAGGGTTAGTTTGTCTGTGAACACAAACATTCACCTTGTCTCTGTACCTGAGAGGCTCTTCTGTCTGTGACACATCATGTCTTCCTCCCCAGTGCTTTGTGATGGCAATAAACTTTACTTCTCAACCTACTTTTGTTGTTTGTCAGTAATCACTGCTACACCTCACCCTAGAAGAGGTAACACAAATCCTTCGGCTACAGTTAATGAAGCCAAAAGTAAAAATGTGCACTTGTAGCCAGACTCCAAGGGACTGCAGCCAACCTGCCTCTGAAAGCCAGGTGAGCTGAGGTGGGTGGGGTTTGTTACTGTAGCTGTCAGCCGAGCAAACAGAGCAGGTACAACAGGCTATTCGTTTGTACAGAGTTCACGAATCCACACCTTTAGCACTTACCGGCTTATGCTGGAGAGAGTACCGACACCAGGACTGACAGAAGGTTTTAACTTTTTAAGCTGGTTTAAAGTTTCTCGCCTCTGATTAATCAGGAAGACCAGGATTCTTTTTTGCCAGTTATGAAGTAAGTCTCTTTGTTTATGTCGCTGAAAGTGCGTTGAATTCCTGACAATTTACAGTAGTTACTGAAGAAGTAAGACCATGCCTCATATTGTTTACGTGTTTGTGCTGAACCACATGTACCTTTTTGGTTGGTGGAGCTTACAGGAGAAACATTTCTCGTATGACACCATGGTAATAAAATTATCTGCATGTCTAAGTTTGTTTAAGACAACAACTAAATGCACTGAAAATAAAATCGTCTTACATTTTTCTGTGATTGGCTGGAAACGTTTGTTCCAAAGCTCTGTAGTGTTATGTAAAAATTGTATGTTGACAGTTGTCTCATGTTTGTCCTGTTCATGTTTAATGATTAGTTAAAGATAAAAATGTTAAAGTCATACACATAATATTTTTTTTCCTAATTATCTCTTTTTTGACATTCAGCTGTAAAATGCAAGTTTAACTCAGTGAACCCTGTAACAGCATCGTGTGTGTCACATTTAAGGTAAAGAAGAAGTCTGCTGCACACAGAGACTCAGAGGGGTTCTCGCATCCATGGAGTCCAATCTGTCACGCCTGTCTTCACTTGAAGAGGACGGTCCAGGTTACATTCAGCCACACTATAAAGAATCCTATCGTCTAGCCATTTATGCCCTGCTATGTGGCGGCAAAGAAGCCTATGACGAGTTCCTTCGAGCTGAGCAGATCAACCACTTCCTTTCAGAGGAAGAGACTGTGTTCATTTTGGAAAATGCAGAGTTACCGGTTGTGGAGGATGATTCAGACGGGAGACGCAGCACAGACGAAGTCAGACCCTCCACCTATTTCCCAGTTGAGTCGGAAGAGGTGGTGCCAGACTTGGATTTGGGATGGCCAGAGGTCGCGCTGGAGGGTGTAGAGACCAGCATTAGCCTGCTGTTTCACCCACCCAGACAGAACACGCCAACAATTAAAGAGGTGGTTCGGAAGCAGATTCAGGCTGCGGTGAAGGTGAGGCCTCAGCACAGAAATGCTCCTGGGCCAGTGCCAGGAAATAACACCCCATCTATCAGGTGGAGGAATCAACAAAGACAATAGTTTATCAATAGTACAAATTCCTAGTGAAAGGTGTAGTTTTGCGTAGGCATATAAACGCATATAAATGCATATTTCTCTGCATACACAGGAGACTGCAGGGAAGGGCTAAACATACATTAACCCACACAATCAGCTGACTACACCAGTTCAAATGTTTGAAGCAGTTAACTACTATGGCAACTGAACTTTTGTTATCATGAAAATGTACACGATGGAAGTCACTCATTACTGTGCAGCTTTTTGCTTTGTGACGTGTGAGGCAGGCGAGTGGCCAGTCTGAATTCATGTAGGCTGCGCTAACTTTGGCAGGTTTCAGAGAAAAAGTATTTAGCGATTGAACTGTCAGGGACCAAGCAGTAAAGCATAAAGGACACAGGTGTTTTCATTCAAAAAGGGG